GCGGGATCCTTCGCTTCACTCCAGCGGTTGGTCTCGGCCCTATAAACATGTTGACTAAATCTTCCCTTTCATTTCTTCTGTCTCTCCAGTCTTAGTGCCAGACCAATTACACGACAATGCTGATTGATATGAGCAGTTCTGAAATTAATTGTTGTTCATTTTTAATTTAATATTGTGTGTTTTACATTGTGCATAATTATGCTTTTTTAACAATTTGTTAAATTTTCTATTTTTAGCTAATATTTTTTATGTAGCTAATTTGTTATTTATCAATGTTTTTATGACAACAGTAATAATAAAAAAGCCAACAATCCTGAATTAATTAAACATAAATTTGTACAAAATTAATAATTAAAGTATATATGGTAATATTTGTTGCTTTCCCAGTGCTGGCTGAAAGGGCATCTGCTGCGTAAAACATTTGCTGGATAAGTTCGCGGTTCATTTCACTGTGGCGACCCCTCATTAATAAAGGGACTAAGCCGAAGGAATTTGAATAAATGAATATTTATTGCTATAATAACACAGGGCTCGAAATTAACTTTTTTACTTGGTAGCACCGATGCTCCCAACTTCAAATATTTAGGAGCACCAAAATAAATTTAGGAGCACCCACCAAAAATGATTGAGCACCGCTGCAAATTGCTTTTTAAGGGATTTATTGTATTTTAAAACAACATCAATAGGACTGACAAAAACCAGAAACAACTATCTAACTAATGCTGCGAAGACATTGATATTTGTGTGCAATAATTCCAAAATGAATGTCTAATAATTATAGAATATTAATGATGATGAAAATGACAATAATAGTAAAAATGAATTACATTTCTCATTATGATACTGCCTTGAATGTGCATGAATGTAGGTTATCTGCTATAAAAAGTCTGTTACTTTATGAAAAATAATTTATTAGTTTGCATCAAACAAAAATGAAGCATTGCAGTAAGAAATAATTATTTTGTACTGCTATTTTTATATGCATGTCAATTTAATAAATAATATTTCTGCTACAAAACAAACAAAAGATTATAATAAATCATTCAATTCAATGATGAAAGCTGCAAAGCAGTCATCAGTAAATAAATAAAAAATAAAAATAATATACACCTCAAAAAAGAATGGACAAAAGAAAGTAAGTAAAGTCTCACTTCTATCACTCTTTAAAAGATTTGGTTTCAGTTTGTGTCAATTTAAATGTTCAGTCTGAGCTGATCTTTATTTTTCTGTGTTAGTGGAAAAGCTGGCGAGTCAGCTGACCCAATTTATGAGCAGGCAGCGCAAGATTCTTGCGATGACCACTGGCGCAATACCGCTGTTTGTTATGAAACGCAGTTTCAGTGTAAACTTAGTAAAGGCGAGCTTCTTTGGCGATGATATGTACAGTATTAGATTTGACTTTTAGCGGACATTTGCGCTGAACACGCAGTGAATGCAACGCATGGAGATTCGTGCGCCTTCTCCATGAAGCGCGTTCTCGATTGATCTCAGCTGGTGGATCATTATTCACCACGTGACGTGTCATGATCGCTCTCATCTGCACCTCAATTTTAGGTGGGGTTTGCAAACCTGTGTGCTTTAAGTTTTTACTCTTCTGCCGTTTGCATTTTCCGTGGTCATAAAAGCTCCTTCCCTGTCATCTGACAGCGCAATACATTGAGTGAATGACAGCTAATATGAACCAATATAGCGGAAACAGGTCGCACTACAACCATTATCAGCAGTCGCACTAATGCGCCCAAATATATTATGAGGTCGCATAGATTAATTTTCGGGCGCATATGCAACCAAAATGGTCGCAATTTCGAGCCCTGTAACAGTAATTCCTTTTTATTGTTGTTGCACATAGTTGGACAAATCTTTTTTTATTGATTTAATAATTGGGTTGTCTGTCGTGTTATACGATGTTTGATGTCACAGTGTTGTTGCTTAAAGTGTGTTTTATTTGTGATTGGTGATCTTTATCATTTACAATATACCGTTATTCTCCTCGTAACATAACAGTTAAAACAAGGTTATTATAGATCAAGCTGGTCATTCTCTAGTCACTCTTCGTTGTTTCTCCCGTGACAAAAGCAACGAGTAGACATGACAGCAGCACGGTGACAGCATTTAATAGAGAGACTTAAAATTATTAATTTAACACATTTGTGCCCAATAATGGGTTTTATTTCTGTATTAGTGATCATAATCATGAACAAATTGTTCTTTTAACCAAATCTTCTAAGTTAACCGGTTGAACTAATCGAACTGAGTAATTTGAAGCTACTCGCGTCTCCAGTAAGCACTTTTATCCACAAACTACTTTAGCCGCCTTTCCACTGCATACAACATTTGGACACGACTGTTAGAATGCGCCACTTTAAGGCAATTGCACTGAATTTTTAGTGTGGTCATGCACCATGGGAGAGAAGCCGATTCTCGTTGTGTCCAAAATAGTGCAAAAAGAGCCTTTATTCTGTGCTTTCACCATGGTTGAATGAATGAAAGAATGAAGACTAGAAACTCATAAACCTCTAAAAATTTTGGAGGGAATGTAGAGACGGCATTTAAAAAATGTATTACTCAATTATGAATAGAATTGTTTTTGTTTTAGGAGTTTTTTTTCTGATTTAAAAAAAAAAAAAAAATCCTATTTCTCATCTCGCGCATACAGACCTGCTTGGACAACACTGGAACACATCACATCCGGTCGGCTGGTTGCATATGCTTTAGTCGCAGGATTTCAAATATTTCAACGTATCTGCAGCTTAAATCAAATTTTCCACATAAGAGATGATTGGAACTCCACACAGCTCCCAGACTACTTTCCACTGGAAAGGAATGACTCCCGGTTTGTCGTTTGTTGTATGCAGTGGAAAGGCAGCTTTACTTTTTAACATGCCTGATACCCCCCCTCTGACTCTAAATAAACCAATATATACTTATTATTATTATTATTATTATTATTATTAGTTATTCAGTTATTAGATCAGTAAACTGAGATCAGATTTGAGAACCGATTAACCGATAATACTGCGCATGAATTCAGCAGATGGTGCACCAAACCCAGACAGTGCATGACGGGTAAATCGAGGGCTAATATGACAGGATCTGGTGAAACGCAAGTTTTTCATTACAGAAAATTGTAATGGAATTTAAATAAGTGAATCATGCTTAGTTAGGTTAAAAAACATAATTGTAAGAAACTTTTTAGATCATGGTGTTCTTTTAACTTACTGAAATTTTGATTGCTGACTACATATTTTTGGTATATTGAGTCCTAACATGGGATGATTGTCGCAAAAGATCCGGTTTGAGTTAAAGATCTGAACTTCATATCACTACTGTTTGTCTAACTTCAGAAGTGGCCTTGCACACATTTTAATTAAGACAGCTATCCTGATGGCTGTTGTATTTGAATTTGAGGATGGGACGATGGTAGTGTTTCAAAAAATGCATCTCTGGTCGAGTTTTTATTACACAAAATTCTGATGATTTTGAATCTTGCACATAACAAATATCTTTTAGAAAAAAAAATTAAAATTAAACTAATAAAAACAAAACTAAAACCAAGCAATTTAAAATTATGGAAACTAATAAAAACTAGTAAATCGTCCTCTAAAAACTAATCAAAACAACAACTAATGAAATCCAAAACAATTATAATTTGCATGTTTGAGCCTGTTTACAAAAAGACAAGCTTTCACTCTTTATTCCCTTTATAACACCAGTCGACTGAACTCAAATTTTGTTACCGGACATGATCTATTATTACAGAATAAAAAAGAAATAATTTTATGGTGTTAAATACAATAGCTGTTTCTCAATTTCAAGAGCTCGCAGAACGTACTCTTGTTCCAATGGAGAGCAGTCTTGCAATAAATACCAGAAAATATTGTGACCTAATTTTAAGTCCATATCGCATCTTAGTTAAAGAGTGCAGACAGAGCACTGTGAAGTGACCCGTTGATTCAAATATCTGCAGTGTTGAAGAACTGATCTGCAGCCGCATACCGGACGCTGCGCTTGTGCTTTAAGCAGATTATAGAAGGGCCCTGAGAACCACAAACCTTCAATTGTGTGAAAGCAGGTCAGGTGTAACTTGACAAAATCATTGTACATTTTGCAGTTTGTTTGCTCGGTGTAGAAAAACTCACTGTTTGACTGAAGTGAAATTCCAGAACATACTGTAGCTTCATCTGCAATTAGTTGGTCAAATTGTTTCCCAGGTGATTTATTGTACATCATATTACATAAAGTAACTATGGCCAACAAGAATTACTATTATTATTATTATTAGTAGTAGTAGTAGTAGTAGTAGTATTTTCTTTTTTATTATTTTAAATTAGGATATTTAATTATTTTAGAAGGAACTTATTTATTAAGATGGTTTATTTATTTTAAGTTTAATTAAATTGTTCACATAATTTGATTTGATTTATAATTTCATTTTTATTATTAGAATTTATGCTTTCATTTGCAAATAATTTCTCATAATTTATATTTAAGATTTCTTTTAGATTTATTTCGAAACTATATATGGTATGTTTTTATTATAATTTGTATAAATTATTTGAAAATGTTCTTGTTTATTAAAGTTTTTTTTCTTTTTTTATATATTTTTTTTAGATTTGTAAAATTTATTTTTATTTATCACCTTTTGATTTATTCATAATCTTTTTTTCCTTTTTTGTATTTTTTAGCTGTTCCTAATTGCATTTTATTATATATTTATTAATTCATTTATTAAGTCAAATTGTTTTTCTTATATTTGGTTTAGCATTTATTTAGATATTTTGATTTATTTAAAAAAAATGTTTTTATATTTCTGTAAAAGTGATACATTGAATCTTTTCTACCTAAATGAATGAATGAATAAACCTGATGAATCCATCTAATCTACCTAAAAGAACAAGTAAATCTGTGTGATCTCTCCTGCTGTAGCCGTCTGCTTTTAACATGCCTCTCGTCTCCCTCTCAGTGCTTATGTTGGCTGCTCTTCTCTTCTGTGTCAACAGAAAATCTCGATACCGCAGTCAGAGAATCCAAATGAGCTGCGAACGTTTACCTTCTACCTGTCCAATGTGGGCAAAGACAATCCCCAGGGCAGCTTCGACTGCATTCAGCAGTACATTACAAGGTAAGAACAAAATTAAACGTATCTTTCATTGTAGTGCTGTGATTTGTGATGAGCAGGAGCTTTTGTGTTAAGGAAATATTGCCATGAAAACAGTTGATTTGAGTTTGTCTAATGTTAAAACTGGTTGTGCTTGCATTCGTGGCATCATTACGAGCACCATCTGTTCCTTCCACTGTTCAGCTCTGGAGCAACACCAGAACACAGAGAATCAGTTCAGTTTGGTCAGTTCTCCAACCAAATGAGGAAGAATGCAAATCCATTCTTGATATATCTGCAGGCAGAAACAGCTTTTCATGCTCCTCTGAGATTTTGAGGCTTTGTGGCTTTTCATAACGTGTTTTTCACTATAATAAGAAAACTTTCAAAATATTCAATACAAAATACTTTAATTGTTTATTGCTTTTTAAATAATTTTCCACTTTAGCAGCTCTGCATACAGAAAACTGCAGTTTTATTCTTATCTGTTTTTACTGAGGGCTTTGTTCATTTATAATTTGTCTGATTATATAAGCAGCAGTTCCATTGTGTCTTTTGCGTCCTCAATTTTGTCTCTTTAAATAATTGGAGAGTAACACATTGCAAATCGCTTGCTTTTTTCCCAGAAGCACCTACAGCAGATTAGTTATTAGTAGGGCCAGACAGAATCTTCAGACTTTTGTTATTTCTGCAAAATATGTGGAATGATTATCAGGGTATTGTAACTAAAAACTTAATATATAAAATAAAAAAAACAATACATTTTAATTTTTTTTTTTTTTTTTTTTTTTTTTTTTTTTTTTTTTTAAGGTTTACAATGAAAATCAATTAGATCCACTTATTTGGTAAACAAAGCAAGCCTCTCATAAAGTATGCCTACTAAAAACAGAAGTTATTACTTTACAAACTGTATTGTAAATAAATAATATGAACACTTTTATATTAGTCAATATTATTACTGAAATTAATTTAAAAACTAAAATAAATATAAATTTGCACATGTAAATCAATGCTCAATGTTTGAGTAAATCTCCAGAATTATGTGTCATTTCAGAATTTCTTCATTCATACAATATCGATAATTACTGTGTTATTGTTTTACAGTCTCTTTAGGTATATTCAAATTTTTTTATTTATTAAATTATTTTATTTATATTTACAGACTTTACTAAGGCAAATGATTTTAATAGTCAAAAACAAAAAAAGTAACATCTCATCTTTAATGTCTTATAATAAAATAAAAATAAGTGCTACAGAGACTCAAACTTAATAAATAAAATGTGACAAAATGTGTGCAAGTGTAAATGCTGAGCAATTAAAGCAAACTTGAAGGTAGATCAACATCTGTAAGGTGTCTAATAATCACACCGTAAATCACAAACATTAATAAAATCAATTATGATAATCAAATCTGAGCTTTCAAGTAAAGGAACTAACCATCATTATTTAAATAGATACTGCAACATTACAAATTCTGAAGTTAAAACTCTTTCAGATGGATAGCTAGAGGTTTGGATGCACGAGGAAAAAAATGCCACTCTGGCGACATCCTTGCGTCTTTATTAACAATCTTCTGACTGCTGCTTGTCACGGTACTCATTTTCACGCGTGTTGTTATTCTGACCTGAGGTGGCAAAACCCAACCAGTTCGTTCACATGTTGTGTCTTAAAGTATGTGAAAAACGTGTGAACGTGGATACGGTTTTCTTCACCATTTTCTATGTGCTTTGTGCTTGCGGTCCTCTGGAATCTCTCATAACTAGATGACCATCAAACGTTTTCTCAGAGGATGACAAATGATTGTATTTATGAAGAGAATGAAAAAGCACTGCAGTGTTTGGGTGCTTTGTGTTTGAGTCTGAGATTGCCATTATTACTGAAATGTGTATATTGCATACAAAGTGTGAAAGCACATTGGTTAGTTCTACTTTCATAAATCGCGGTGAGCACGCGGCATTCTGAAATGTTTTCAAGTAGGTGTGCCTGGAAAACTGCCAAGCCTGCGCCTCAATTGGAAATAACCCTAAGCTTATTGACATTGGTTCCAAAACGCATGCTCAGCAGCCACATTTTAATAAAGCTATAGCACTTCATACCGATTTTTTTTTTTTATCGTTATTGACAATAGTGTACGGTCAATAAAAATCAATAACGTTTTATCAGCCCAGCCCCATGTTGGCCTACTTAGTAGTTATTAAACATTGCAACTTTTCAGTATCATGACAAAAACAACCAATCAGGTTTCATCCTGTGTATGGATTATAAACATTTAAGTTGTAACGAAAGCCTGATTACCTCAGACCAGTATAGTTAGCATTTTTGAAGTTGCTGTTTATTTCAGGTTAGTTTGACTTTGTTTTAATAATTGTTTTGGTAGCTTGAGTTTTATTTTTTTTTGTGAGCACATTTTTGTATATGTAGAATGTTTTAAGAATTCAAGTTTAGTAGAAGACGCCCAGTGTCCACCAAAGCAAAGTTTAGTGTTTGCACAGCTTACATTAACTCCTGTGCAAACCTCTTATTGGCTAATAAACCGCTTTTTGGCTAATTTGGCTGTAAAAGCACACCTACAGGTACATATATAAACAGCCGCTCATCAAGTCAGACGTTCCACCACAGAATGAGGGTTTATAAGTTCTGAAAAGGATTATTTATTTTTGCTAATTTTATTTTAGTGACTGTTGTTAGATAAATTTTTTTAATAAATAGTTTTTTTTAATTTACTAAAATAATCTTGCCTTAGACAAACGCAGAGATCCCAAACACTGTGATTCACGGTCAACAAACATGAAGTATTTCAATTCAATTCACCTTTTTTTGTATAGCGCTTTTACAATGTAGATTGTGTCAAAGCAGCTTCATAAAATATCCTAGTAAATTGGAATAGTGTAGTTTAGTTTTTTTTAGTGTTTACGTTCAGTTCAGTGTGGTTTAATAACCACTACTGAGGGTCTAAACACTGGAGAGCAAATCCATTGATGCGTAGCTCTACCGATCCCAAACCATGCAAGGTAGTGGCGACAGCAGAGAGGAAAAAAAACTTCACAAATTGGAGAAAGTGAGGAAAAAAACCTATACATTCATAATTTTAAACCCATATCATCCAATGTTGCTAAAAATGTATACAGACATGCACATTGATACTGGCTAATTTGCATTTTTCAGCATATCATTTTCGAAAACTTCACAACTCTCCTCAATCATCTTAAGAAACATGGAGATAAATATTCTATATTTTTTTACTCTCTACACCTGCAGTTTCTTCAAGGGTCAGCAGAAGTTCAGCGGTTGCGGTTTCTTGTGAGCTCAAATGAAACCAGTATTGCAGCATTTTATCTCATCCCTTAATCTATATTCAAGCGCTGTGACATCATCAAAGCCATCATTTCTTAAATCTGAGCTGAAAATGTTCCACAATTACTGCTCTCCTTCTTTTAAATTGGCCTTTTGTTGTCGATCGTGTTAATGTTTCATTGGCTTTCTCATGTAATTAGTCCAACTTTTCATTCGGCAGTGCCATATAATTAGCTCATTTATCATTGCGCTTTTGTCCAATGAAGGTTCACTTATTTCAGGGACAGGCATCAATGGGGCTGCCTGCTGTCAGGTGCCGCATGGAAGATCATTCTATGATGATGATGATGATGTGACTCTCTCTTTAAATGTTAGTATGTGAACTCTTATTTTGAATACTGTAAAAAGGTTGAGCTTAGTCTTACAACTTAATAATAAACTATATGATCTGCATAATAAATTAATGATATTACGTTATGAATAAATAATTAACTATAAATGTGCAAATAATAAATGTATATATTTTATGGTCAAGAAGTCATTTTATTAAGAATGCAAGACAAATTGGCTTTATATTAAATGTATAATAAACAATATATGTATCAATTTACTGTTTATATGAAGTTAATAGTAATAACATTTTAGGGTCATCAACTTTTAAGAGTCACAATCTATAATACAGAAATGATATACTTACTGGCCACTTTATTAGGTACACCTCACTAGTACTGGTTTTGACCCCTTTTGCCTTCAGAACTGCTTTAATCCTTCGTAGCATAGATTCAACAAGGTACTAGACATATTTCTCAGAGATTCCGGTCCATGTTGACATGATAGCATCACGCCGTTAATGTAGATTTGTTGGCTACACATCCTTGATGTAAATCTGTCTTTCCACCACATCCCAAAAGTGCTCGATTGGATTGAGATTGGTGACTGTGGAGGCCATTTGAGTACAATGAACTCATTGTCATGTTCAATGTCATTTTCTGTTATTTTACAGACTTAATTCGCTGTATTATTTTGTATTATATTATTTTAAACCATTAAAAATGTCAATGAAAGTCACTTTGTTAATAGAGTTGAATTTTTATCATCAAAAATCGACAGAGCGCACACACCCCCAACAATAGCACAGTGGATAGAAAAACTTAAATCAGTTCATAGAATGGAATAAATGAAATTGAATTATTTTTTTTTTTAAACAAAGATGGGCGCCTGTTACAATGTATCTGCCAAGTATTCCCAGCTGTATCCTTTGAAATTTGAAGAAAAATGATGTCTTTTTGTAATTTTTTTTATTTACTGGCATTATAACTTGTTGTTGTTGTTGTTGTTGAGATTTAGGGTGCTTTCACACCTGTGAATCGATTCAGTTGTTCCGAAACAGAGATTAAAATTGTTACATTGTTGCTCTTTGCTCTTGAAGCGGTTCGCTTTCACACTGCAAAGTTTCTAATCAGACCAAAAGAGCTAAAACAAGTCACTTGCGAGTAAACTCTCCTTACATTGGTCAGAGTGTCAGGGTTTATTTTGCAGCGTCCCGCTAAACTGTCAGGAGAGGTGGTGGTTTGGTGGTGATTGACAGGGTGCGCGCGTGACGTGTCTGAGGAGAGACACGGTGGGGAGGGGTGAGAAGGGTGCGCGACGATGCCTATTTGAGGACCGGAAGGGAGACGCGAGATTACCGGGAAATCATCACTCGTTTGCGGGCATCCGGAGATTCGCGAAACTTCCCGCCATACTCATAATTCTCTCTTCATATAGCCGTAAGCCTATTACATATCCATAAAACACTGTGATATAACCGCGCTCGGATCGGATCGCTTTCTCATTGCAATCGAACCGCTCCAGGGTTCGTTTCAATCGAGCCGAGACCACCTCACTCAAGCGATCTCGGAGCGATTACTTTGGCGCGGAACAGAGCGCGATTGCCCTGTTCACATATACCAATCGAACCGCGCTAACTGGGCAAACGAGATACGTTCCGAAACAAAAGTGTAGGTGTGAAAGCACCCTTAATATTGTTATTTTATTTTTATTATTATTATAATTATTATTATTATTAATTTTTATTTTATTTTTTATGATAAATGCTGCTGTCATTGTTTAGTTCTGTAAAAAGTTTTAATTTAAAAAATAAATAAATAAATAAAGTAAAAAAAAAAGTAGACATAGCAGAGATGAAGGTCCTATAACACGATTCACAACTAGAAATAAATTGAAAAACTTTTTTTTTTCTTTACAGTGTGAATAGTGTCGTCATAAACTAGTTTTAATCTAGTCAACCTTGCTAACCTTCTAAAAACACATTAAACCTTCTGCAAAAGATCTACCGCCAATATCTGCTTTCGCGACACTCATCAGCTTTAACAAAACATTTCAAGACAATTGCTGCCAGACTTTTAATAGTCCGTTGAGAGCAGCATTATTCAGCTTTCTCTGCAATCAAATTTACAGTTATTTATCCCCAAGAAATGTCTCTGGTGGACAAGCGCAGCCTAATTATACAGGACATTCTTTCGACTAGTTCAGAAAAACATGTCAAAACAGCCTTTATTGTAAATACTTTTCTGTCAAGCCATTGTGGGAAAACACTTTATGCCTTAATAACTATGATCAATTGTTTTGAGTTTCTGTATTAAAAACAGGCTTAAAGCAAACAAAGGCAAATGTTAGGTTTTCAGGGCAGATTATGACCTCACAGAATGCATTAAACACTTGTGCCTATGTCCACCTAGTAAAACGTATTCTATGATTCTGTCACAAGTGTTTTATCTGAGTTTACACTATGAAAGCAATCTGGCCAAAACATTTTCAGTCGCAGCTGGGCAATAGGTCCAAAAAAAACAGGGCTCATAAATAAGGACTGCCCGATGGCCCAGGGCCAGCATTAGAGATGCTTATTGCTCTTGACAGTAGACCGAATCGTCACTGGCCCAATCGGGCCAGTGCTGCCTTGTCACTAAATTTTAATTTGATTGCGACTTTGTCAATTGCATGCAAATATAGTCTTAGAATCGAGAAACTATTTGTGCTTTTAAGCCTTTAAATTCTACCTTCTATGTGAAGTCGTGAACACTATATTGCTTTTTGTTTCCTTTTATCTGACTAGATGTTGTGAGCACGTTATTTTTTTTCATAACCTGGTAAAAACCAGTACAGGGAAGAGACGGCAACATGACAGCAACAAAATCATAGGGCTAAAAGAAAACGTCTGAAACAGACTTTTACAAGGGTATAACACAACCAAAAAAAGTGGTGTTTTACATGGTTTGCCGTCAATTTTACGTCAGCCACCTGAAAATGCCAGCACATTTTCCATACTGCTATATTTTACTGCTAAATATTTTAACATTTTTTTTAAATATATAAATTCTAGATTTTCAGACGTTATTTTTGACACATTATTTAAAATATATGGCTAAGAAATAGCAATTCACTTTTTTTTGGAAAAATAATGGCAGGGCAGGTAAAAATCTGAACCACTGGTCCAGTCGCGCCAGTAGAAAAAATCCTTAGCGCTGAACCCTGTGTCTTTTGGGTGAATTATGACTTTTTTTTCCACCATTTACAAAGTTCACAAATAAAATGCTCACTCACGCACTATAATATATTGTGCCAAAAAAAGGTAAAAATCGCATGATTGTAAAATTGGTCTAAAAATAAATTTATACAGTAATCATCATGTGAGGTGGAGCAAATTGTTTTAATTGTCCAAAGACAATAATGGGTGTTGTTCCATTGATTTATGACAGCTTTGTTGAACGATTTTGAACCACTTCAAATGTTGATTACTATAGAATACCCCATTACTTTTAAAGCCATTAGTATACATCAGGGCTCATGTTTAGGACCAGTTGTGTTATGCACTTATATTATACTCAAATGCAACCATATTGTATATCGCTATAAACTGTAGGACCTTTATTCCATGTCATTTAAAAATATTTAAATACTGTACAAACTCAACTTGTACGACCCAGGCTTACCTTTGGACATGATTGCAATTGAACAAGCTCAATTTTTACACCCAGTTTACACCTGTATTTAGCATGGTCCACTAGTGATTGGCCTTTAAGCCCAAAGTGCACTTAATAGGGGTGTAACGATACTTCAGTGCCACAGTTCAGTTGAGTTCATTTGCATTTGGGGTGTCTGACACGCTTTTTGTCTGTGCAGTGAAGGGAGCATTCAGTTGGACTGTCTGGGAGGAATCCAGGACAAAATCACGGTGTGCGCCACTGACGACTCATACCAAAAAGCCAGGCAAAGCATGGCTCAGGTCGAGGAGGAGACCCGCAGCCGCGGAGCCATTGTCATCAAGCCTGGAGGGAGATATGTGGGTAAGTTTGATGCGTCCTCATTACTGGTTTGAGCCACCAGCTGGTTAAAATCTGATCTGTTTACACGCAGTGCGAGCAGACAAGTGGAAGGGCCGATTAGAGCCCGTTTGGATCCACATGTCTAGAACTGCAGCGTCCTGCATAATTTATGAAGATGCCTATTCTGGTGCTCCCTGATCAAAATATTAGATGTGTGCACTGGTACCACACACACAACTATCATTGCCAGACAGTGGCATTTATCAAAGATGAATCAGTTGAACATAGGTCTAAAGTAGGAATTTGCACAATTTTAAATCAAAATAAATTAGAATTTCTATTTTTTATTTAAACTAATTATTTAACATAATTATTTAATATAATATAATAATTATTATTATTATTATTTAAAAAATCAATAAATTTATTTTACATGTATGAATTGGGGGTGTTCGTCTCTGAAACAACTCCAGAATAGATTCCAGTTGCATTCACACAAAAATACCACAAGGAATAATCATATATTTCATTTAATACAATGATACTGCGTCAACCGCAGCTTTAAATTATGCAGTTCACTTCTGGCCAGACAAAACTAGCAGTTTAAACTCAGCTGCAGTCAAAAATAAAATGGTTATTAGCCCACACTTTTTTTTCATATTTTAGTAGTCTAATTTAGATAATTTAGAAAATTACATTGCAATCTTGGAGACAAAGTTAAAACCAGTTTATTATTGAAATGATTAATGAAAATACATGCTATTAGCTATTACTATTGCTATTACTATTACTATTTTGAAATTAACAAGACTCTTGTTTATCTCTAAAAACTAAGTTTTATATATTATTATACATTGATACAATTAATATACATGTGTATATTATCATTTTCTGACCAGTTTTCAGAATGTGACCTAAATATTTTTTTTACCCTCAAATTTGAATGAATTCTAAATATTTCAAGTGGTGCTCGCTGCAGAGCCATTTGGGCAAGCTGAGCTCCAGCGAGGGGGAGCTTGAGCTTGAGCTCCACCTTTTTTGCACTTCTTCTACGAGTGATGTCACTGGGGGTAGGGTTAGGGGTGGGGTTGGTGTACGCCTTAAAACAGCTTACAGGAGGCAGAACGAGAGCTCATGCTCCCCCTCGCTGGAGCTCAGCTCTGCTCAAATGGCTCTGTAGCGAGCACCCTCTCAAATATTTACATACTTAAGGGTGTATATAAATGTGTATTCGTGAATATGTATCTGAAATGGCAAAATATTTAAAGTAAATCATATTTAATAAAAAGGGAATAATAATTCAATAGATATGGCTGCAAATCAAAAGAAATGTACCCATGTGGATTTTTTTCCTCTTACATTTTTTTAAAAAGTTGCTTTATAAATAAAATAGCTTTATACTGTATACTTTGTATTTTTTTTATTATTATTATTATAAATGTTCTAAAGAACTTCATATAATCTAACTACTAGTAACTGGTTATAAAAACATTGTAGTTTTTTTTCTTTAAATGTGTGAATAAATATACAAAATGTATAGGTATTATCATTTACATGTTTAAAATAATAAATGTATTACTAAAATTTACAAATATAACAATTTTGTAAAAATATATAATTTTAGCATATAATGAATTTTAAGAATATAAACGTAAAAACTCTATTCTAAACACACATACCTTAACTTTACCTGATTTTGCAGGTAAACGGGTACAAATCCGTAAGCCTATAACAGGCGTGTCTGATGTGGCCCCATCACGGCGGACGTCCAGGCCAGTGATCATCTCCAGCAGCGCTCAGAAGAAGAGCCCGCCGCGACCGCTGAGGGAACGCCTCGTGCACCTGCTGGCCCTAAAACCCTACCGCAAACCTGAACTCCTGGTGCGGCTCACGAAAGATGGCCTGTCTTTTCAGGACAAGGAGACACTGGACAGCCTCCTGCAACAGGTTCACTACCAGCACTCCTCATACACGCATCTTTTCCTCTTTTAATGAGGTTAAAAAAACTCTTCTTAAAAAAAAAAAAAAGCTTTTTTACGGGTTAAAAATACAACAACATAATATTGTCGCACTACAACATAGTGAAAACAAAACAACACAGCGATTAAAATAAAATAGCAAAAATAACATTATGCTTGTTATTTTAACATGACATTAGGATTACAACCATATCTGCATTCAGTTTTAGTTAATACTTTTTGGGGTATTTTAGGACAGTAATATTCAATATGCATCTCTAATATTGCTGTGAAAGACTAGTTTTGAGTTGTTAGGACTGTGCATGGTCTTCTGAAAGTAGTTTATTAAAATTTGAACTACAGAGAATTTTTTTTCTTTTTTTTGCAATTTATTAACTTTATTGAAATAAAATACCCATATACGTAATTCAATGACTTTTACTAAATATGTGTAGATTTCCATCTAACATGGTTTTATTAAAGTTACAAAATGCGTACAAAATGAGTTCTACTTATTTATACCTAGAACTACCATAGTGGTCAAAGTAGAAGCTTTGAATGTAAATATGACGTCTTGTATGAGAACAGTCAGAATGGTATTGGTATGGTAATCCTAGTAGTTGTAGAATTCCGGTAGTTTATTTATTTATTTATGTATTTTTTATGTATTTGCTTCAATGTAAAGAGTCTGCTAAGTTTTATTTTTAAGGAAGTGATTGATAAAGATACTGTCTCACAAATATTCATTATATCTTTTGCCTGCTACCAATCTACATCATCACAAAGTAATATTTGTGTAATCCCTGCCTGCCATAAAAAAAACCACTCTGAAATTGTCCATTCATTTCTGATAAAGAACAAATGTATTCAAAACAGACTTGTCCAGGTGACCAATCAGATCTTAAGCCCCGAATTGATTCAGACAAACCATATCAAAAGCATTTCAAAGTAATTCTAATGATAACTGCGTATTTTAACAAAATGACAATATTTTCTGACCTCAGATAAAACGCAGATATTTTACATATTTTTTAGATTCCTCTACCAAAGATTTCTAACAAGTTGCCTTTTAAAATTCCATGAGTGAACCATCAGCAAAATGACATTTAATTACTCTTTTTCTTTTTTTTTTGGAAACCTTTAGCTGATAGTCTACAGTTTAAAGCATCAGGGGTGTAGATAAAAGGTGGATTGCATGCTGCTAGTGTGCTGTTCTGACAGAGGCTCTTACTTGTGTTGGCTAAGCTCAGAGTTTTGCTTTATGATTAATTTATTGCATTTCACCCATTCCAAATCATGTTTCTGAACTCCACTTGGACATAATGGCTCAACCTAGACACATTTGTCATTACATGGACAAACAACCTCAGCCGTGCGAGAAGCCGGAGCATTTACTACACAGAATTTGTCATCGTGCTGTTTGTTTTTCTGCGCCGGTGTTGAAATCCAGCATTTGAACTCTTATTTTTAGACCCAAAGACTTAAGCCTCTTGTTTAAGTTTTGATGATGTTTTTTTTTTCCTGGTCTGGTGTAGGTGGCTAACTTGAATAGTAAGGACAACACCTTCACATTGAAGGACTGTTTGTTTAAGGAAGTTCAGAAGGACTGGCCTGGTTACACTGAGGTGGACCAGCAGATTCTGAAGAGAATTCTAGTACGGTAAGCTTCATGGACTTTCATATGTATTCATGGTGAATGAATCATTTTATTTTAAAGGGTTGTTATTATACAGTTTATATTTAAGTGGAGTTTTCTTTTTGTTTTTATATGAAAAAATTATTAACTTAAAATATTTAACAGATTTTATAAAATTTTTGGTAACTTTACTTTTGAACAGTTTATACTTTTTTGGCCATTTTAGCAAATCGTTTTGTTTTACATTTTACTTGTTCTTTTTTGAGGGTTTGAGTGTAATTAAGTGACTTATTTTTAGCTAGATTTCCTTTTTTTTGTGGGTTGGGTCGATGGACGATGGCATCATTTATCGCCGATAGATATCACAATGCTGAGCCAGTGTCGTCATCCTCCACCTCGCCCCGTCGCAGCAACAACCCGCTCGAGAAAAGCACGCGCTTGGGTCCCGTTTATACTAATCTTAGTTTTGAAATATTATTTTCAAATAAAAACGATCCACGTCTGCACTGGCATTTACCTAGCGTTCCGAAAAAGATCTTCACCCACTCTTCACTGCTGAGAATGCACATCACGTGACCACACACACACACCATGGCATGCTTTGCAGCATATGCGCACATCTGAGCTCCAGCCAGTCAGCGGGTGCTTTGAGCACCAAAAACCTAGAGAGCAGTGCACGTCGGATAGTTCGTCAAGGATGTATCACTGGATACACATGATGTTTAATCTTATTTCTATCTACCGACTCTTCTGTCTTTTGAATCTATCAAGTAACGCATCACAACGTCAGTACACTGCTTCAATCTTTCTCTTTCACGCTTGTTCATTTTGGTGAAAACCTCAGACACTGTTGATTGATTCCTGTTGGTTGTGCACCTTTTACAAACCAAGTTTGTTGACGTCATTATAACGACTCAATCACTTAACATATTCATAAGTACTGCGGAAAGAGTAACTGACTGGTGGTAATTTTTGTGTAATTTATATTTATTTATTTATTTATGATTTGGTTATGGGTAAAGCAAAGACCATTCAGGTCAGCTAATTAAAACAGTAGGCTACAAATAATTAATTTGTAATGGATTAATTAATAATTCATAAATAATTAATTCACTGCAAAATACGACGATGTCATTGTCCATAGCAATGTTTCACATTAGACATCGTAAGATGACAATTTGGTCTACATCACCCAATCCTATTACTACTGTTTTCATTCATTTTTCTTAATGCTTCAACTAGTGTATTTTACTTGATTATTTTAAGTGCTTCCCTTTTTTATTTCACTCCTTTTTCATTTATTTGCTAATTGTGTGTGTGCGTGCGTGCGTGCGTACGTACAACACTTTACCTGATCATCTTGACAAACCACCTGTGGAAACACTAATCCCTCTTTAAAATAAAAAAGCACTTCCCGTTACTTTAGCACCAAATTCTCTGAGCACTAACTGTGCCTGTTACATTAGCACTTCTTGTTAGTGTTGCCTCCTTGTTGAATTGCTGAATGCCTCCTCAATTATAAGTTGCTTTGGAAAAAAGTATCTGCTAAATGTTTAAAGTTAGAACCATTTTGTCTCTCACCAATTAATATATTATATTAGGGCTGGGTGATTTGACCTAAAATCAAAATCTTGATTAATTCGATTACAATTAATAAACTTAATTATTATTATTGTTTTTTTTTTTAGTTCACTGACAAGTCATTATGCTCACATATTACAAGTGAGAGTTTTTAAATGAAGGGTGCATAACTTGATTTTAAAATAATTGAAGGAAACGCACACTACAATCTATAATTATTTATTGAACAATGTTGAAAAGCTGGAATTTAGACACCGATTACCCTAAACAAACAGTGACTTTTCTTCTTGTAAAAACGTGAAATAAAATAACATACTTTTGGAAAATAAATAAATAAATAATAGTGTTTTTCATATTAGATTTAGAAAATAAGCAGTATATCTTCTAAATAAAATAACTCTTGTATATCTTGTATAATATTTTAAATGATGCATTTCTTGTATCTGTAAGCAAATATTTTAATGTAAAATTGAAAAAAATGACCTGGGAAAATTTGATCGATTTATAGGTTCTGAATGTTGATTAATCACCCTGCTCTATTTTATATTACACGCTATTGCTAATTTATATAATGTAATTATGCATTGCTAATTGATTACAGCTGTTTAGTTGCACCAAGGGTAGATAACAACACAACAGTATACGCATTTCCATGGAGAAGTGATTGATTATTAGATTCATATGACTGGCGTATTCATTCTCTGCCCTCCAGTAGTGTTTTGCATAACAAAACATGCACAACATGAGTAATAGTTGTTGCCCAATATAGTCATCCTGTAGCAGTCTTCAAGCTTTCTTTTTGGCTCTACATGGAAAGTCTGGGTTCCCATGAACTCTTCAGGCGGAAAACTGGCCCCTTGAAAGCTAAATTTAGCAAAGCCACACTGCGTGCTAGACTGGCGAGGACATGGTGTTGTGCTGTCCATTGGAAACGAAATGAAAATATTTGCCAGAATCAAACCCAACACCCAGGTGGAACGCACTCAGCACGACTGCACTTTGAGCCCAGTGGCTATGCTTATCAGCTGACGGGCCTTTTTTTTTTCTTTTTTTTTTCTCCTTCACCAACAACACACCCCCTCTCGCACCCATCTGGTTGCGGACGCCAGGCTGTCACGTAAGAGCCCTGGCTGTGTGCAGTTGCGATGCAACACTATTCCAGCACATGCTGATCCATGTGTGTGGGTGGCACAGGTCCAAGGTCCAGCCGTGCTTGGGCACACACAGTTCGATGGAGACTCATGCGCACCCACTTACTCTCAGGGATAGCCCCCCGTGTGTGTGTACCCGGGCCTGCTTTTGGTATGCATCTGGCCATGTCATACTGCCCCCTGTTGACATTCACAAACTCCCTCGGTCAAATGCACTTGACCACAAGCAGGAATTTGAAGCTGATTTTGAAGCCATTTACTGTATCAAGTGCACAGCGTTTGATATTAAATGTGTATGTATTTATGGAAAATTATATGTGCTAAAGTGATTGACAGCAGTTTGTTGTTGGCAACAAACAGAAATGACACCCTTAAAGGTCCCATGAAATTTCAATGAAATGTTTTAGATGTTTTAGATGTTAGTATCAGTTAGTATCAGTATTGTTAGTGTTTAGAATATCTCTAAGCTAATGTGCACAAAAACACTAACAAAATTGACGTTTAGAAAATATAAAACTGATATATAAACATGTAAAGCTTATAGTTTGTCCTTTCCGCCTAAATGGATCAACGGTTGTCTTCACTTCTCCTCATACCTTTAGTTTCTCATCAAATCGTGACCAATCAAAAGCTCTCTAGTATCTGACATACCCTGTCTTCCTCAAGATGCTTCACATTTAATGTGCTTGAGCTCAACCACTCTTACTGGCAGAACTGTGAGAAACTAAACACCATTGGCTTTTTTTTTTTTTTTAAAGGGTAGGGGCTACACTATGTCCCACCCTCTCTTTATATTTCAGTTGAGATTGTGTAACATTTAATAAAAAAAAAACATTTCAAAGCACTTAATGGGTCCTTTAAACTATTGTTTTAACTAGTCAGATATGCATTGCATATTTAGAGCAGAGCGTTTCATTTAGGGCTGCACAATATATCAACGTTATATAGTAGCGACAATAGTATATGCAGTATCTATATCACAGAGTAGTGCAATAAATGTAATTTTATGTGCTAAGCTTTTGTGTGCTCAGTGCATGGGTTGTTTATCCAGGTCTGACCAATCAGATGGAGCCTTTATCTTCATCCCCAACTCTTCAGTAGGTGATGTTAGGTGAACCTAGAGCTGAATGTAATTGCTAATGTCAGAAGACAAGTGACGAAAATGACAACAGCCAATAAGAATCAGATTTTTCTGCAAGGGTTTTCATTTGTGGTGTTTTAAAATCTAATTGTTTTGTTTGTTTGTTTGTTTGTTTTGTTTGCTTGTATTAGATTTAATTAGCTCAATCTAGCTATTGCCTGTTTGTTGTAGTTTGATCATTAAATAATTTTTTTATTTAATTATATCATAAGAAATATTGCTATCGCAATACTCAACTACAATATCACATGTTATCCCAGTATCATACAGCCCTAGTTTCTGTTAACCAATGACATTTAATGAAACTTTTTTTTTATTTATTTAATTTAAATCACACTGAACTGAGCTAAACTGAACTGAACTGAACTTAAACACTAAAAACTGAACTACAATGTTCCAGTTACTATGACCATTTATGTGAAGCTGCTTTGACACAATCTACATTGTAAAAGCGCTATACCAGTGGTCACCAAACTTGTTCCTGGAGGGCCGGTGTCCTGCAGATTTTAGCTCCAACCCTAATCAAACACACCTGAACAAGCTAATCAAGGTCTTACTTGGTATACTTGAAACATCCAGGCAGGTGTGTTGAAGCAAGTTGGAGCTAAAACCTGCAGGGACACCGGCCCTCCAGGACCGAGATTGGTGACCCCTGCGCTATACAAATAAAGCTGAATTGAATTTAATTGAATTTAGTTTTATTTTTTTATTTTATTTTTTTTATTTATTTATTGAGATTGGTTACATGCATGTCCAAGCAATTGCACTTATTTTGGGGAGCATGTTATCCAAGGATTAATTGCAAGGAAAGCCTCTTTTTTTACTTGAAGCGGCGACATGTTAGATGTTGCCCGCTTGTTAAGTGTGACGTCACGCAAAGCGGCTTCCGGGTCCAAGCGCTCTATTTAACTGTATGGGAACACTCATGAAATGGTTATTATAAACGTTTACAAAGCGATTTAATACATTCAAAAATCATGATCGCAATTTAGATGTCTATGCCTAATATCCGATGGCCAGAAAATCATTCATTTTTTTATAAATGGTTAACATTTTGGTATTTGTAATGCAGTAAGCCCAGGGATTGTTGTGTGCACTATGACTTTATATAAAACTAACTTTTCATGTATGATATGAATTGAAAATGATCAAAAACAAATCATTTCTCAACTCAAGTGAGTGGCGGCTTAGACACGGAAACAGTATTACATACGTCACCAACACGTCATCACTTAACAAGCGGACAGGGAGGTTATAGGGAGGTGTGTGACTTTACTTAAAGTAATGCAGATTTAGAATTTCCCAGATGAACATCGAGTATCACGAGTAAAAAAAAAACTTTTGTAGCACCTGCTGCATCATGGCCAAGAGATTTTTTTTTTTTTTTTTTTTTTTTTTTTTAACAAACAACCATTTAAAAAAAATAACCAATTGACTTCTGCTTATGCCAGTTAAATGATTTCATTGCAGTTTTGTAAATTTCGAATTGCCTGAAATAACTCATGCTAGTGTAGAATCCCTTTTTTTTTTAATCAATGGCATTTACTTGTCGGATATAAACACAAAGGCTTGCTTCCACAATTTAAGTGGGTTTGCCCTAATTACAGCTTTAGCTGTTTTTCCAACTGGCTGAACGGTTATAAGTAGGCCCACATGGAATCTGCGTGTGCAGAAATCTGCAGATTTTTAGCCCGTCATTGTCTATAGCCCCTTTCACACATAAAGACCTTTCTGGAAAATTACCGGGAATTTTCTGGAAGGGGATATTGTGTAAACAGGCTCTTTTTGAAAATGCCTGTAAACGCATTCTGGCAATTTTCTGGCAAGAGAAGTTGTAACATTACCGATAATTTGCCGGAATGCTTCGCTGTGTGATCGCAGAAGGAAAGAGCACGTTCACGATTAGAACCCGCTGATGTGAGACGTATACTCCAGCCAATGAGAACATTTAGATGCATTCACATCCGTGCTGTTTATGAAATAAAAGCCTTTGAATATTTTTTTCCAGTCACATTTAGCTGCTTGATGTTAGTCCGATAATGTCTGTATTCCTCCTTAATGCCGGTTCTGTACGCGCGCTGTCTGTATGTATGTATGTGCGTATTGTATCCGTGCTAGGTGTGCGTCTGTGTCTGTGTGTGTGTGTGTGCGCGCCCGCGTCTGTGTGTGTGTGTCTGTCTGTGTGTGCACGCGTGAACTTTCTAACGACTGTGTGTGACTCATCGTTGTAGCTTAACACAGCAAATGCATCAAATACTCATTGGTAAAGTTCTTACTGTAGTATTTCTCAAAAACGCTACATGAGATCTGCTTCCTTTATGTCTGTTTGTTGTCTGACACAGCCAAGGGAGGAGATTAAGGCACGCAGAAAGGCACGTAGAAATGGTGGGTGGGGAGGACTAGCCTTAAAGGTGCAGTACAGCAAAACCGCCACCCAGTGCAAAAATGTATAAAACAGAATCTTATAAAAGGTATAATAAAAAAATCTGATGGATATTTTAAGCTGAAACTTTACAGACACATTCTGGAGGCACAAAAGATTCATAATCTGAATAAAGGGGCAACCTAGGTGCCCTTTAAATTTCAAAGAGCTCCATCAGCACCATGGTAAACAAAACCATATCCATGCTGACTAGCCTGAAAGGGTAAGGCAAAGAAACCATTCAGCCTGATGGTGGAAAAGTGTCTTTTGTGTCCTGATGAACTGTAATGCAAGAAGTCATTTACAGATCAAGCAGATTAGAACTGTGAAACTTCTAAAGTGTTTCCCATGTTGTTTGCCATATGCATCACAAAGACGTTCAGCCAGCAGTCCATAGTAAGGACGTCTGCAGCTAGTTTGACTTCTGTGTGAGCTTTGTTTATACATGATTATGCTGTTGACAGTTAACATGTTTGAAATTTCACTAATGTTTTGCACTTACTGTATTAGGTTCGTTTGATCTCAACAAAAGCAGTTCCTTGGCTCTTTTTAAATTGAGGATTGTCTCTGTCTTTCTGACTTCCTCCACAGAAAACTGTGTAAGCCTCAGAGCAATGCCCCGGTGTCTGTGGAGAGCCCGGTCAGCCCGCACAAAGAGCCAGCCAGCAGTTCGCCCTCTCAGGTCAGCCTTTCACCCCCATTTAGACCTGTCAAAGATGGTGTAGTGCTGTTATGATGGATCTGTTTGGGACAAGGAAATATGTAAACACACATTTCTTTATAATCAGGGGTGCACATTACTTATACACAGATGTGGAGGTAAAATTGAAAAAAAATACACACCAGATATACTGCTAAAGAAGCACTTTTAAATAACATTGTTGGCATTTTGGGACATTGTTTCCCAAGTTAAGGACTTTCTCCATGCAACGTTGGTAAGATGATTGTCACAAACATGTTCTAATGTATGCTGTGTAAAAGGATGTGCTTGTTTTGATTACAAAAGTTATTTTTACTTATTTATTGTTATGGTCATCTAGAGCAGTGTTTCTCAACCACGTTCCTGGAAGACCACCAGCACTGCATGTTTTGAATGTCTCCTTTGTCACATCCATTACAGGTCTTTCAGTCTCTGCTAATGAGCTGTTGATCTGAATCAGGTGTTTGGTTAAGGAGATAAGGAAAATGTGCAGAGATGATGGTCCTCCAGGAAAGTGGTTGAGAAACACCGATTTAGATGACCATAATAACATTGTGCTTTTCTTTGCCAGAAACCTCAAATTAAAAACAGATATTTCTTAGTAGGTTCTGGATTTAGATAAGTTAGCTCAGAATTAATTAATTTGGGTGTGAATCAAATGGTGTGGGACATGGGCTCCTGCAACTTTTCCATGCTTGTGGCTTGAAGGTAGATTGTAAAATAAAGTTGGTCTCTGAGTGAACGGATAGAATTCCAGTCAAGGTTGGAGTTTACAACTGCGTTGTTCCCATATTACCACAGATGGTGGCAATCAGGGCTTCTACTGCGCACATACTGTGGACCCTCTGTAACCTTGAGCACTTCTCTAAATCAGATTGCTTGATGCCACATATAGAAATGGTATAAATGGCAAAATATGCAAATCGCAAATTTAAAATACTTACTCCCAAGTAATACTCTTAATACCCTGGACCATTTATATATTTAAGTTGATATTTAGCTGCACAACAAATTTCCTCTAGTCCGATTGGTTCTCCGCAACTTCTTTAGTAGCCCCAATCCTCTATATTTGGATTTAAAAGGTGTTGAGATATGCAACATATTTACAAATATTGAAAAAATGAAGATGACCGCATGTAGGGATGGCTGTGACATCAACAATGTCTAGTTTTAGTCATTTTAGTCTTTTGAACCATTTTAGTTTTAGTCTAGCTGTAGTTGACTAAATTTCATAAGATTTTAGTTGAATAAAATCTACTCTATATTTAGTTGACTGAAGTAAATTTGGTTTAAGTGTAATTTAATTCAATATTGTATAAATTTATTTATACAAAATATTGAAACTTTAAAATTAATTAATTAAAATATCTAATTAAAATATGGAATATAGCAGTCACTTCAAGACCAGAAATTAGATATGCAATATTTATATCATGAGTAATCCGTAAAATTATGTCTGCAGAAACAGTAGACTTCTGAAAATATAGGGTTTTGCAATTTTTTAGCAAACCCTTTATTTTAACGTGGTAAACTATTCTTTTTGACCATACTGTTGAACAGTTAATCATGCAATTGCGTCTTTAAAAGGGCTTAAAACTCCACTTTGCAATGTCAAGTCCATAGCAAGCTACTGATTGTGTTACAATACATGGTGCAGTACATAAAAGTAAAAAAGTAATGACATATGACTGGCAAATGATAATGTGTTATCTTGTAAAATGTGTTAACTCGCATAGAGGAATTATAAAGCGAAAATGTACATGAAAAACAATTGCGCTGCACTTTAAGGCAGTTTCATTAGAACTCCCTGATAAGCAGAAATGGCACTGCAATATCAATACATCCTTACAGTAGAAACAATCACATCACAGAATGACTTCCTGAATGAAGCAGTTTTTGTTTTGTGGTAGAGGCACACTGTAAAAGGCTGTTGTCATGATGATCGTGGGAGACGCCAACATCGCACAAGAACCTAGCGCGAGTAAAATGAAAGTCATGAGGAAACACAACTCCTCACAAAAATGAATCCCTGCTCATAATGCTTTAATGAATTTCTGTTTTTCTCTTTTTGGAAGAATAATGGAGGAACAAACTAACACATGCATGATTGAATGTAGCATGTTGTTTTTAATGGACCCTTTTCACAACACTGTTGTGACTCGTTTAATCCGAAATATTGATTGTTTTTTTTATATTTATGTACATTTATGTTTGTATTATATCATCTTTGCATCAAATTACCGCTTATGCGAAGTGTTTGATATGCAGAGTGTGTGGGCTGCCGTCTCGCACATTATTTTCCTTTTTTAAGGAAAGTCTTTACAAAGTTTTCACAAAGATCTGTTGTACTCTCCCATTCACTGCGTGCTAAATTTACCCAACTCTGACGACTTCCTCTACTGAGAAACCCAGAAATGTGAAAAGGGTCCATCTTCCCTCAAACTGCAACCAAGATGTTACATTTTCTCTTTTTCTTCCTCCAAGATCATGTACTGATATAAAGTTGTGTAATATTTGACTTCAGTTGAACACCCACAACCCCCAGAAACGACCTGCAGCCGACTTCATCGATCCCCTGGCCAATAAGAAACCCAGAATATCGCATCTAGTCAGCAAGTCTACAGGACTCATCAATGGCAAGCTGAGCTCATCCAATGGAAAGGACACCTCTAGTTCTCAAGCAACTGAGACCTCGTCGAGCTCTCAGTTCCCTCCACTGGAGATCCCCCGACCCTTCGACCCCCTTTCAGATGTCAGCAACGACTCCAACGGCAGAGACTGTGAAGGTCAGGAGGCAGCGGTGGCAGAGAGACTAAGTCAGCCACCGTCATTCGCCCCTCGCTCCGCGACACAAGAGGAAAGGCAGACCTCCATGTCCCCACCCCACAGCAGTTTGGACAGCTCTCTGACCCAGACCACCCAACCCTCTCTGCACGGCAAGTCTAAGAAGAAGTCTAAAAAACACAAGGACAAAGATAAATCCAAAGACAAGGACAGGGATCGAGAGAGGGACGCGAAGAAGGAGAGGAGGGTTGATGAAGAGCGTGGCTTGGATCAAAGGAAACCCTGTGATGTCACGACGAGCGATAAGAGTACAGGTGAGGATCGGTTTCTCTGAATCATTTATCATGTCAAGGTCAGAAAACACCTCAGAGTTCCACACAATCTTTTGAATCTAATATATTACTTTACTTGGTGGTGACGGTGGGGTATCTTAGGGTAGTGTTTCTCAACCATGTTCCTGGAGGACCACCAACATTGCATGTTTTGGATGTCTCCTTCGTCTGTTACACACATTACAGATCTTTCAATCTCTGCTAAGGAGTTGATGATCATAATCAGGTGTGTTTGCTTAAGAAGATGTGCTGCACCCCAATTCGCACACTATCCGTCCTTAATAGTATTTAAAAATAGAATTCATATGTCCCAAATCGTAGTATGTTGAAAAGCATATGCCAAAGGTTCCCGGATGGTTTACTATTTCCGTAATGTCCATACTCCAACCGCTGACAATGCCCACAGTACATTGCACGTTGATGTGAATTTGATTAGAACTACAAATGCGGGTGAAATTTGTAAATAAACTACAAACATGGTTGACGTACTAGAACAACCGTCAAGTAGAGAGGCTTTAGTTAAGCTGTAAATGGAACGTATTTAAATCGCGTTTTCTGTGTAATATTTCATCTGCAACAGCGTGAACTAGGATTGTTGCGATACTATTAGTCTTACGATACTATACCAGCTGAAGTATCACGATACTAAGTAGGATTGCGATACTGTAACTCATAACTCAAATTCTAAAGAAAATTGTCAGAAATAATATATTTTAGGTTATAATAGGCCTACTTGAATTCAATTAATAATTCCCTTAAGGCCAAAAAGTATTATTTACACATCACTTCACCTAAAATTTATTCATTCTTTTTGTTTATTTTGTAAATAACTGACATACAAAAAATCCATTAAAATAAAGCTAAAATTTTAATTTGTTTAACAAAAAAATTTGACTAAATAAAGTGGTCAAAAATTATTTCAATTATTCCTGTTGCTATTCTGGATTTTCATATTTTCTGGATATACATATTTTCATCATATTAAGAGCAACAGAAATGAACCGATTTAGTAGTTTGAACTGAAGCGTTAGAAAACATGCAATGGGCTACCATAAAAGGCGCGAATTCTACAGTTTTGCAACCTTAAAGGGCTCCACAGACGATTAAATAAAATGGTCTATTGTTGCACAATCGTGTGAGCATTTTAGTGATCTTTCTATATGCAACCTTATCTGTTTTAGATAAAACATTAATAACGATGCTACCTTTAACAAACTACAGTGGCACCACCAGTATTTTGGAGCCAGCGAATGCTCTCTGTGAAGTGCATTTGACACTGATAATCACTCAAACCACCTCAAAAGGTGGCCTGCAATGCATTCCAGACAGGTTAATAAGCATCTGGTTAACCACATGTCAATTTTACTTCTCAAAATGTAAGATAAATAAACATGAGAATGCGTTATAGGCTATATTCAATTCAATTCATGTTTATTTCTAAAGCGCTTTTACAATGTAGATTGTGTCAAAGCAGATTAACATAGAAGCCCTAGTAAATTGAAATAGAGTCAGTCCAGTTTATATGGTGTAGTCAGATAACAGTGCTAATGCTAAAATGCAAAGCCTCCGATAAGTTTGGGATGTTTTTGTCTAGTTTTAATTTTCTTTGTTACAACCCCTGTGCGGTCTAGGGGAGTGGGATTGCACACTTGACCAAGGATCTGGTTCAAACAAACCCTTAAGGAAAATTATACTCCGTAACAACCACAAACAAGAATTGCTGTACAAATAATGTGATTTATTACAGGTGGTGATTAGTGAAGCAATGTGTGAGCATTTACAATCAACAACCAAAAACAAAACATAAGTTAGAAAGACTGGCTATGGGTGGCGCTAAAGCAAAAAAAAACAATCAAAACCAAACAGTCTAATATCAAATCCCCTCTAATCTAGTCTACTAAACAGAAATGTGAAAAATAATTCTTCAACGTCCAAGACGTCTTACCCAAACTACACTAACTGTCCACTTAACCAAAAAATTGGCGCTCACCCCCTTCCCTAGTGTATCTCTAGACAGTTGAACTCCTATGTCTTGAAATGTATGTCACATGACCTACTTGCCTACCAGTCTTTCTACCAAATCTCTGTAGGGAAACATAAGGAAAGGAAATGAATAATTACACGGGTAAGAACAGACAGTGACCAAACCAAAACGACAACACAGTGTAAATAAAGGTGACGATAGACAATACATCATAACAAAAATGCGGATATAAACACCGAATCAATCAAGCAAGCAATGAGCACAGAAATAAATAACAAATCGAGCCAACAAAGACTGACAAACTGCTGACAGACAAAAAATATATAGCAAGATGGAGTGATCTGATTGGTTGAAACAAAGTTGTTACTCAGGAAACAATCAGCATAAGCCAGTGTCAGGATCGGTTGCAAGCAATAACAACAGAGACCAATCATACACCTGCACTGTAGTAGCCACTCTCTTTGAATGATGAGAGGAAACATTATAGAAAAAAAAGCGTTTCATTTGTATTTAAAAAGGCCAAGTGTTTTGTTTTTGTCAGTATTACACACAATATAATGTGTATAGTCTTATACAATATAGTCTTCCATGAATCTATGTTTAGAGAGGCTTCAGATCAGTTAATGAATAGTTAAACAACTGATCAAGTCGCCCAGTGAGGTTAGTTTATTTCAGTCATCGCTCCAACTAGTCTATTTTAGCAATGCGTGGTTTTGCACGTCCCTCTTCAGCTTTCAATCTGTTGACTAACGTCACAGCGAACTGTCCTTGTCCCTCAGTCTGCAGGATAAGTCTGTCCTTGAATTGATCTTATATTTCATTTCAGGTCTGAACGGAACATGCAACAGCTCCAGTATTCCTGCGTCTTCATCAGAGACGGCAGACTATTTAATGTAAGTGTTTTTTTGGGCGTTATTTGAAGTTGAGAGTACATTCGTGAACCCTTTTGCATCAGGTTTATTTAAATAAAGAAAACATGCATTATAGAACTGAAAGAAAAATAACATTAAAGTTTCATGACGTTTTTAAAGCACTGATGTTTATTTGCGCTTGGTTTCCTCAACAGAAAGTACACAGTGATAAGCTCGCCCGAGCAACGTCAGACTTACAAAAACGACTTCAACTCCGAGTACAGCGAGTACCGGGGCCTCCATGCGCGGATAGAGAGCATCACTCGGCAGTTCACTATACTCGACTCGGAGCTCAAACAACTCCAGCAAGGCACAGACAAGTACAAGGTATCTTCATTGACAATTCCACGCCAAAAATGCAGCGCATCCATCCACACTTCTGATTACAAGCTCCTCATTTCTTATTAATATGCTGACGGCCCCTGCGTGATCCCAGCGGTCGCGTCTTCCTCCGGAAAATGAAAAATTAAACCGTCTGTTTGACTCCCACTGGGATTTACTCATCTTGATGAATTGAAAAATGTTACTGTGTGAAGAAAAACACGTAGTCAAGAAGTGTAATGAAATAAACAACACAATCAACCGACTGATAAGAGACATCAATGTTGAATAACCAGAGCAGAATTTCATAAGGATCATTTGTTTCTGCAGTACGCGCTCATAATCCTTTATAGGGCTCAGTAATGAGGATGGCCTGCTGGTGTCGGGCCAGTGGCAGAGTTTCAGGTTCACTGACAGGGCTGTAAAGCGTGTTGCCAGATCGGAGTAGAAAATATGGCAGAAGTCATGTTTTTACATGGACTTGGCCCTTCAATCAGCTAATATTTTAATACAAACATAGTTTAAGTAATAAAATATTGCATTATGCTTTTAATATGGGCTTTAATACTGATTGTTAAAACCGTACTTTTTTATTATTTTAGGTAAGTTTACACTTTCAGATTTTGCTCTCAGAATCCGTTTTACAACTAATGCCATCACACACTGCAGCTGCAGCTGTCACTTCATCTTTTAGTGCTTAACCTGTTTTGTAAACAAACTAATTTTACGGAAGTGAAAACTCCAGCCAAAATAGCTTCCCAAAAATAGTGGTAGTGAAAACAAAGTTAACAAACTGCACAGTTTTTCCCAAACTAAACTGAACAAGTTAGTGGCATTTTCTTTTCTAAATATTTTTATTCTAAGGGAAGTAATTAGACAATTAGAGACTTGTTTTGTGTATGTTGCCAGATATTGTGACAGTTATTTAAACCAAAATATTGCAAACTTAAACCCATGAACCATAAACTCAGTCGATTATAAAATAAACTAGCACAAAAATGCTTCTAATAAGTGGAAATGGCAGCGGTGGTTTGGTTACTATTGTAAAGATCTGTGAGTACAAACATAATTTATGTAATAAAATGTTGTATTATGCTGTTTTAATACTGGTGTAACACAGCCAGAAAATAATAAAACAAAGTATGGTATGACAATTGTTTTCAGTTCATTTTATGCTTTCAGATTTTGCGCTCAGAATCAGCTTCAACTATTGTTATTGTTGTCAATACTTAATCTTTTAGTACTCAATCCTGTTTTGTAAACTTTTTTTTTTTCACGGAAGTGAAAACTCAAGACAAAATTACTTCCCAAAAATGGAGGAAGTGAACAATTAACAAATTTCATAGTGTTTCCTGAACTGAACCAGTTAGTGGCATTTACTTTTCTAAATATTTTTTATTCTGAGGAAAGCAATTAGACAATTAGAGGCTTGATTTGCTTGTGTTGATAGATTTAGTGATTACAAAAGGGATTTGTAATCAAACTAAATAAATTAAAATACCTTATTTCATGAAACCCCCTCTTTCAGTTCAATTCTACCTCAGAATTTAAAACTAAAATGCATTATGATGGGCATGGAGTGCTGTGAGCAGAGGGAGGAGGAGTGAGCATTGCTGGCAGAGCAGGGGAAAAAGAGTGGAGCCAACAACTGCTGTCAGTTGACTCAAAATGAGACACAAACCATGAGGAGACCCATGATTTTATAGTTTACAAAGTTAAAATGCAAAGAAATAAAAATGAATTGAATGTCCTACATATGTCATTTATAATTTAATATACACAACCACAATTTGTCACATCATTATAAAAAAAAATTGTGTTTGTATAAACACCATAAATGAGGAGGACTTCCCCTGATCCCCCGGGTCTGAATGCAGACACAGACAGGGAAAGAGACTGCTCTACTGCTATCCACTATTCCAACCATTACACAGCAGCATGGATAGGCGATGTGTCTGAATGGTAACAAACTCAACTGAAAAAAGACAAAATGCCTCATTCTCCAGTTCTCGTCCAGCTCTCTCAACAAAAATGCTTGCTGCACACAATCGGCCCTGACAGCATCATGGTGAAAAACATGGAACAAACCCCGTGGATCACAGAAAACAAACACATACGACACTTCTGGAACTGCTAAATACTGTGTGCCCTGTGCAGATGCGGTCTCACCTAGTGATTGGATCTCTCAGCTTGGCAGATCTGCTTTCTGAAAGCACATGCTGTCATGATTAATTAAGAGGCATGGTCTTCTCATAGGATAAGAAGACTATGCTATGAATAATAATGAGAAACCTACACATCATTACTGGACAAACAGATCAGCACAACGTCACTAATTTTGATCTTACCCCAAAAATTATTTCAAACCCGGAAGATGAAATTAGCTGACAAAAGCTCAAAATTATTCAGTTTTCTCCACAATTAAAGCTGACAGGTGGTAACGTCTTAACTCATGCTCAACACACAAATCTGTTAATCACAAAAAAAGCACTCAAGGGTTTCTTAAACCTTTAATAATAAAACCAAAATATCAAACTTTATTGCCATGAACTCAGTTGATTATATGAGGAAGGCATAAACTAGCACAGAGATGCTTCTAATAAGTGGAACTGGCAATGATGGTTGTCACCATTGTGACGATTTGTTTCTTCTCTTCACAGACAATCCACAATCAGATACTTGAAGAGTATCGCAAAATAAAAAAGGTAAGCTGACACTTGAGTTTTTTTGTGTAACTCAACACTTAAAATACTTCAAATCCAATATATTAATGGCGTTCTCTTCTTTTCTCACAGACTAATCCAAACTATAGCCAAGAGAAGAACCGCTGTGAATATCTACACAACAAACTGGCACATATAAAAAAACTGATAGCAGAATATGATCAACAGCAACTTCAAAACTGGCACTAACAACAAGATATGTTTCTTTTTTTTTTTTCCTTCTTCGTTCTCCCTTTTGGGAGAGAAAGAAAATCTGGATTTTTTTGGTTTCTTGGCTTGCTCTAAAAACAAGTTGCTCTAATGTAAGACGCCACGAAACTGATTTATTATTATTTTTTGTTTTATTTTTCCCCTGTAGTAGGCCAAGTGCTCTAATAAGGACATTGCGGACACATGAATTTCATTTTTTATGGGACTTGGGACATGGGCGTACTCAATCATGCTTACCTGTGTAGCCTAATGCATTATGGGATTGGTTGCCCCTTCCCTTCTCGAAGGTCTCAGTGTGAAATGGAAAAAAACAGTCTTGCTTTCCAAACAGGGATAACCAACACCCATTCCCAGATTCCCATAGGCTTAGAGGAAAAATATATGGAATGGATTTTTTTCCCTGTATGTACTAAAACGGAAGGTCCTAATGATGATAAACTATATTTTATTTTCTTTTATATTTATTTTTTCGTCTTCCTTAGGGATACATCAGTCCGATTATAATTTCACACTCCTCAAAATTGAGTGCTTAAACGTCTCGTCCGGTCCCTTTGGTCTTCTGGAATCAGTCAGTATTTTATGCAAATTCTGCCTTGGATTGAATAGATCCTCAATGCAGTAAACCTTTCGCCCCCGTTTTCTTTCTCCAGGGTCTGACATGGCACTATTTGGCTCCTTATTTTGTGCAATGCGCTAAAGCACGTCGAATGCCTAGCGGAGGGAGATCACCATCTGTTTGTTTAGAGGCTTTGACGGTATCAGTATTAAGCGGACGGCCATGGTAGAGCTCCATACGGATACATTTGCCATTCCAGAGGTGAGGGAGCACTTCATTGTTGGCATATTTTCCACACTTTTGACTGAAAATTATCACTTTGCAACTACCAACATCAATTTTAATCAAGAGTAGTTGTAAAAAGCGATGCAAAAAACGTGCTGCCCCTCAGGTTTCTTGGGTTAAGTTTTGCTAATTATGAATGTGACTGTAACATATCACCTTTGGAGCCAAGCTAGTGTGGTTTTCTTCCAGAAAATAGTGATTGTATCCCTTTAAAGTCACCCTGTTGGGCTGAAGAAGATCCAAAATGATAAACGCAACCTTCACTTGTCCAAACCCTTTAGCAATTTAAAAAGCTTGCTTGAATACTGAGTATTTGTGGGGTTTTTGACCATTTCTGGCAGTGTTTTCATTACAAGATGACTGTTAAATTCCATTAAGGCGTCTCTTCATGGTGGAGGATCCATTATAAACCTCTGAAGTGCTTCTTGCGTTACTGTGGACACTCAAACCGCTCATCTGTCGGGTCCTGTTGAAGCATCAGTTGTACTTCTGATAACTCTTATGTTTAAATATTAAAGTTCAGCACTTTGCTCAGCTTCTCGCTGTTACTCTTACCTGGGTTTTGTTGCAAGGAGACTCTTGCCTCGTCCGTCTGTGTATGCATGCTTTCTGACTGTTGAAGACGTTAAAAGGGCAAAGGCCAGTGTTTACAGCGGTTTTACGCTGCTGTTTTGATGTTCAACAGCATTTAAAACCAAATATGTATCAATTTACCCCGACCAGCATTCGTGCTTTACAATTAAATAAAGCCAAATTGGACCGTTCAAAGAAAAGTCAGCAAATTGATCTGGAAAAAAAAACACTGTTTTAGTCCTGGGAATGCTTAAGTATTTATTTGATCAACCCTGATCATGGTCTTTTCATTACCTGGAGGAAAAACAATCTGAAAATCCTGCAACAATTCAACGATGAATATGAATGATGTTTGTTTGAGTTTAAAAATGCTCCGATACTTCAAGCACTGACAACACAACTTGGGGAAGACATGTGCCAAATGACCTGTTGTATAGGTTTGCATCGGATGAAATATGTTGCTGTTTTAGCAAAAAAAAAAAAAAGAATAAAGGGAGCTGGAAGGAGCTTTGGGAAGGCTTGCAACGCTAAAACCCAAAGTGTGTTGAAACTTTTTGAAACAAGGGACTGAGACTGAAATTTAAATTGGTATTTCAATAAAACTCTTTGGAAACTTGCGTACGTTTGAATTACTGTGTCCTAATGTCATTGTCCCCCTCAGATCTTTATTTACGCCACTAACTTTTAGCTTAGGTGAATGCGTACCTTGGCTCTAAGGATGAAACCACAAGCAATAAGGTCTTGGAGTCAGATCTGAGTGTCAAAGCATTAAGTAAATCAGCACAAGTACACTGCAAAAATTAGATCATTTGTTTCCAGTGAACACTTAGAGACACTTGTTCATGCTTTTATGACCAGTAGGGTGGATTACTGTGATGAACTCCTCACAGGCCTTCCCAAAAAGACAGTCAGGCAGCTCAACAGAACACTGCTACCATGATTCAGACTAGAACCAGAAACTCAGAGCACATCACACCCGTCTTCAGGTCTTTACACTGGCTCCCAGTTACAGTCAGAATAGATTTTAAAGTATTACTACTAGTCTATGAATCACTAAATGGCCTTGGGCTTCAATACATTGCAGATATCCTCACTAAGTGCAAACTACATCTGACAGGCCGCACGACTATGACTTTTATTTTTTCATTCTTTTAACCCGTTTTAACACCTTTTAATTGTTTTTATCTGTTTTTAGCATTTTATTTTCGTATTTATTTTATTATAGTTTACGTAAAGCACTTTGAATTACCTTTTGTTTGAAATGTGCTATAGAAATAAACTTGACTTGCCTTAGTGACCGCTAGATGGCAGCACAGGCTTAGTTTTTAAACCTGATGTTTAGGTGCCCTTATTTACATTCATCGTTTGTCTGGAAATAGTTCTTAATACCTCATAACGTAAACTACGCATGTACTTATACTAGTGACTATATTTGGTACTCTAACCTCTGGCTCTTTATAAACACCTAACTAAATTCTCAGTTGACGACGTATTTGGACGTATAAGATAAATGTCATGTGTGAAATCCTCAGCTGGCTCCATCCCGCATCGTTTGGCTCCCCGCCGCTCCATTGGCCTCAATTTTAGGGGCGCTCGAGGAGAGTCAGTGAGTTCAGTTTGGCCCCGCGCCAGGCTCTCGTTTCTGGCTTATTTTCTGCATCCATCCCTGCTTCTGTCCTCGTTCATCCCGTTACGACACACCGAGCCCCCTGACAGTCGGTAGACGCCCTCACGATTTAAGGCTTTCCCTTCCTGTTTGCTTAGGCCCGCAAATTAGACTCTAATGTCCGCATTTACAGTGCCCTTGGGGTTGTAGGGGTTTAATATAGCTTTGAGGCCGCGATCAGGAATAGGTTGCTATTCATGCACAAACTAGATGTTTGTCGCTGCTTGAATGTAGAACAACCGTCTTCAGTGAGTTCTGCTGGTGGTTATGCATAGCCCACTGTGATGCTTTAGTAAGGCCGCATCCTGACATTAGCAGGAGTGTATGAATTGCTAAAATCGCTTAAAACCTACTTTGATTCATCTTGCAAAATGTGCAACAACCTAAAATGTTTAAGGGTCACGAAACGGCAAAACGCATTTGTTGAGATGTTGACAGCCGTAAATATGTCCCATGTATCTTTTTAAAAGGTACTGCCTCAGTGACCGCTTCTGTACCTTTATTTTCTGAGAGTGTGTTGTACACTTCTTTTTGAAATCTAAAAATGTGGAAAATTGCAAGTATTTATATTTTGTGCTGGTGTATTGTAAGCACTGTTGGGGAAAGTTACTTTTGAAAGTAATGAGTTACCTCCCAAAAAGTACCTAGTTGCATTATTTAGTTACTTTTTATGGTAAAAAATGTGTTGCATTACTTTTAACTAATTTAAATTTTTTTAACAACACACTGTACACACCTACATATACCTTTAAAAAACAGAAATTATATATATATATATATATATATATATATATATATATATATATATTATTTCTGTTTTTTAAAGGTATATGTAGATGTGTACAGTGTGTTGTTAATCAAGAGTCTCTCATTGCGTGATTCGTTGTGACTAATTTTATTTATCAATTGTTTTTTTAAGCTCATTTAAACTAAAAAGTAACTCAAATATTATTACTTATTTTACAAATCTGTTACCTAGAAAAGTAGTATAATTACGTAACTAACTTGTAAATGGCTTGTAATGAGTTAAAACAACACTGATTGTAAGCATTGCTTCAAAATGCAAAGAGAACATGAAACCAAAAGTTGATATAGGCAAAAAAAAAATTAAAATATCAAAGTCAAACTGTCAAAAAAAAGGGACTCCTTTGAACGAATAACCTCAAATATTTAAGCAAGCATGCTTGATGCGATTGTTTCCAGGAAGCAGATGGGAACACTGTGCTAAAGCTGGCCTCATGAAGAACATCCCTAGTGTGGAACTGATTGGCTTTTTTTTTTTTTTTTTGGCACTTTTCTTGCCATTCATCCACAATTATTTTCAATGGAATTTAGATCCATTGTTCTGTCGATGTGTCTTACCTTGTTAAATTGTCCTACCTCACATTCAAAAAGTAGGTCCTTTTTGATGATGCAACTAGTGTCAATTTTAATGTGGAGTACTGTGATATAAAGCTGTAATATCACCCTAACCTACCCAATCCCTAACCCCAACCATTCAAATACAGTGTTGGTAGAATAATGGGTAGAATAAATTGTCAGGACACCGGGCAATGCGCATGAAGATACAACTGAAAAGATATTCTCCTGGAAGAAGTTCCAAACATCATCTTTGTCATGCAGGCATTGTGAACTGCAGCCTTTTCCCTCACAGATGATCAACAGGGATGCCTGTATCCACATAGCCAGCCGCGGTTTGATACCTCTGCACAACCTAAAGCTAATTTTCTCATGGAAGGAAAAAAAGCACATCAGCAAATGATGGAGCCTCCTCCACTGTGCTGTGCAGAAAAAAAATCCAGAGGGATCTTTTGGCTTGTAAATTTATAACACCAGGACCACCCTGCTAAATATTTTCAGAGAAGAAAACTTTTTTCCACCATTTGTTGTCCTGTTTTGACGCTTCATCACAAGATCCAAACATCTTGCAGGACTCTGCACTCTTTTCCTCTTTATATGCACCAGACACCTTTTTTTATAAGCTCCATGTTTCTGCAAAGCATTGTGTAATTCTGAGTGTTTCACTCAGGTGAGTGGGCTGGACAAGCCACCTGTAATGCACATGGTCTCCTCTGATTGCATGTGTATGTATGTGTTCGTGTGTATTTATATGTCTGTGTTTAAAAAAAATAAAACCGGTCAACTTCAGACTAATCATGGCATCTAAAGATTGCTGTTCTGTGGAGATTTGAATCGTTCAGGTGGTCATGACTGGTTGCATGAAAAATAGTGACATGAAAGCCATTTGAGCATGCGTTTACAATTTTTTTTTTTATGGCTATGGTCATAAACTGGCTGATGAACAGCTATTTAAAGTTTAATATCAGTTCTTTCTACCTTTCCTGTATTATTATGTTTATCACTTGCTCTGGTTTCTTCTTTTGCCATTTTGAAGCTTACAACCTGGTACTTACTTGAAATGTCAATACTTGTAAGAATTTGAGCAGGAGTGTATATTATTACCATGTTACAAATGTTTTAATCAAGCTGTGGTCATTTCGCATTGGGAACACTGCAAAACATGTAATAAACATGCATATGACATATGGTTTTGTTTTTACAAGTGATCAAAAATGGTTTTAAAGTTTGTCTCAAGCCCTCAAAAATGCAGTTTTTCCGTACATTTTGTGGCCTCTGAGGCTGGAAATGGCCATAACCCCTCTAAACCAGGCTGGTGGACCAGCTAAAGCCTGCTAACCAGCTTAGGCTGGTTTAAGCTGTTTTTTTTAATAGGGACTCCAAAAAAAAAACATTATCATCAAATATTTTTATGCATAAAGCTAAGAATGTAATATGTCTTCTTTCACTTCACATTTTCACAGTTCATTCTAACTTAAAGTAAAAGCCCGGCAGAGCGATCTTGATAGTAAACATGATCTTTTCCAGTGTTGCCAACTATTTCCAATGGAAAGTAGCTAAAGCCTGTCCGAAAAGTAGCTAAATGTTGCCAGATTACATCACGCACTAATTTGCATATCAGTGACATTATCACGTAGGCCTAGTATCTGACAAGCGTAAGCCCGTTTATCTCTACTCTCCAAGGCGACGTGTATTATTGAAACATTACATCCAGATGAACAATAAATAAGTTCTTATTAATATATTACTTTGCGTGATGCCGTCATTGCATAAAAAACAACATCGCAACTCAAAACAACATCTTTATGTAGTATAAAAAATAATTAATGTTTTCTCAATTTGACTGGCCATCTCAACAAAACATTACTTGTAATATGTCCATTTAGATTCGTATGAAAAATATAGTTGACTGTAAAAGTAATACAAACACTTTTTGATAAGAATTTTTTTTCCACTAATAATGAACAGTTACATTATTTTAAACATTCACAGCTTGTGTACTTACTCTTTTTAACTTGTGAAATTAACACATTTGTGAAAGTGACAACAATTTTAGCACTATTGGAATGCATTGCTGCCTAAATTACCAACAATTATATGTTAACAAAAAGCAGTAAATTAACAGTTATGAAAAACAATCTGAGCTGGCAATTTACTCCACTGAGTGAAGCCTGCAGCCACTGCTCTTTTCAGTTACTTTTTAAAAATTGCTCAGAGTAGCCAAATTTATGTTAAAATTTGCTTAATTTGTTGCTGGGTGCTTATTGAAAAAAAAGTTGCTAGGGTAGTAGTATGAAAAGTTGCTAAATCTAGCAACAAAATTGCTCAGTTGGCAACACTGAACTTCTCACGTCTTGGGTAAAATGGTACGTTCCGCCCATTCAACGGTTACTGGCACCGAAATTCGGATTCAAAATGCCCGGTTAATTGCTGATCCGTGTCATCCTTTCCCAGCCAATGTGAGAGAGTTGTCGAGGAGAAATCCCCGCCGTGTGTGTGTCAGAGAACAGACGCCTTGCCCCTCTTGTTTAATACACACCGATTTTCCCTCTCCCTTTCGTTTCGGATTGGTTGGTACGACATGCGGTCTGCACTGACTGCACGCACGGCACGAATCACTCATGTGAGTCGGATCTTTGCAATGACTCAGTTCCGCTTTCTAACCCAGATGTGAGCGAGCGATTCGTTGACAGATTGAATGTCACTCAAACAGTGAAACTAAATTAAAGGGTTAGTTCACCCAAAATCTAAAACGTATTTGTATTTTTTTGCCCTAAGTATGTTTTTTCTTCAGTGGAACAATGAAAAGATGTTTAGTTGAAACAGTGTTTTTTTTTTTTTAAATGCAAGTCAAAGTTGTCTGGCACATTCATTCATTTTCGTCCCTTTATCAATCAGGGGTCGTCACAGACAGCGGAATGAACTTACGAACGCGAATGCTCTTCCAGCTGCAACCCATCGCTGGAAAACACCCATACACTAGTCTACGGACAATTTAGCTTGCCTAATTCATCCATAGCGCTTGTCTTTGGACTGTGGGGGAAACTGGAGCACCAGTAAAGGCAAGAACCGGCTTAAAACAGGAAATCCGCATACACCTACCTTATGGTGTTTTTCCAGCAGTGTTATTTATTACACCACTCATAAAACAGCATTCGTTTATATTTGAGTTCTCACTGTAGGGATCGGTGTGTGTTGGAGTGGTATAAAATTTGAGCTTTCCTCACAACTGTTGAAAAATATGTTCTATAGCATATATATGAGTAGTATGACTGAAAGTCAGACATATATCTATGTTATTGTTATTACATTGCCTATCTGCATCGCTTCATGTCCTTTACAAATTAAAAGTAAACTCTTATTTGATGTGGCAGAAGTAGTTCATTCTGGTATTTCATTCTTAGTGTTTTTGTGCATACTGTGCTATTAATTCTCACATAAATAGGGGAAAGCAGGGACAAAAGTACCATTTTTTCATTCAAAAGATCATGTTTTTAGCAGAAATATATTTTTGCTGTGGTTACTAACTAGTGTGGTCTATCAAAATCAGGTGTTATTTTGAATCAGTGTAAAACAACTCCAATGTAATTTCACTTTAAACAAAAGTTGCACAATGTTACTTTTGAGCCCATAGGCAGAGACGAAAATAACACACGGCTGGGTCTAAAGCAGGGGTTCCCAAACTTTTCAGCCCATGACCCCCAAAATGACAATGCCAGTGACTCGCGACCCCCAATATCCTCTGAGGTGGTTATAAATAGAGGAATCTTACATGCAATAATGTGCACACCAATAGACCCAAGTCTATTCTTCATTTATTTTTTTAATGTATGTGAGTGCTGTAAATGGGCCAGCAAGTTTAACAAGGTGTTATAAAATTAACATGCTGCATCTGAAGCTATTGCTGTGTCTTTATTATAATGTAATTACCCCAGGGGTCACAATCCAATAGAACTATAAGCTACTATAGTAACTAGTGTATAGTAACTATAAATGACTATTATTTCTCTTCAGTGGGTTATGGATAAAATATGGTAAGTCTTATGATTTAATAAAAATAAATTGATTTTTGGAAATCATCAAGCGTCTACCCCTTCATTGTTCTGCGGCCCCTTGGGGGGTCCCAACCGCCACGTTGAAAACCACTGGTGTAAAGAAACAAATTTAAAATACTCAATTAATATACTTGAGTAGTTTTTCTCATAATTTGTAATTTACGAAGTAGTTTTAAAAATGTGTACTTTTACTTTCTCTTGAGTACATTTTTAATGCAGTATCAGTACTTTTACTCCACTTTCCTTCAACCTGCAGTCGCTACTTTATATATATTTTTCTTGTTTATGGGGAGTAGAAAAAGATAAAAGTTCTGTGATTCCTGTCCAATCACACATACAGTAGAAGGTAAATCGCATCATAATGAACTACCTCAAGACATGGGCAATTTATAATTGCAACAAACTGTTTGAAAGCATTAAAAGTGTCCAAGAAGATGTCTAAAATCTTTACACGCATTGACCAAGAGACTGTTTAGATGCATGTCAGTGATAAAAAAAAATGACAGATGTTTTACTGTATGATGATTAAAATGGCTTGAAACACCCAGCAGGCACATGACATCAGATTGACATTGTACCCCAACATCATGGGAACGTTGCATTTTGTTTTGAAATGATAATCGGGGAGATGTCAATGTCCAACCTAAAATCAACCAAATATCAACGTCAAATAATGTTACAGCTTGATGTTGTGTGGACGTTACCACTATGATGTCTATCAGACGTTGCATTTGGGTTGCCATTCCTGATGAATAAATGTCAGTATTTGATGTCAATATGACATTGGTTTAAGATGTAACCTAAAATTAACCTTATATAAACATAATTTGACCTCGTATTGGACATCAAAATAATATTGTACTTAGACGCTGACAAGACATTTAATTTTGGTTACCCGACGTCACAAACTAACCTACTGTAATATTAACATCTCATGACGTTGTGTGCCGGCTGGGGAATCACTAAATGCATCAGCTTTTTACAGCGCAGTACTCACTACTCTTGAGCACTTTTGAAAAGTCTACTTTTTACTCATACTTTGAGTAATATTTACAACATACTTTTATTCTACCTGAAGTACATTTTAAGGCAAGTAATGGTACTTTTACTTCAGTATGATTTTTTTAGTACTCTTTCCACCACTGGTCAAAAGTAACACAACAATATTTGCTAGATATACTGGCTTAATCCTGTTTATTTTAAATTGATCTGAGTATGACCTTGTTAATTTTAACTCCAAACATATTTTGTCTTTTATTTTTTTAAAATAATGAATTAATAAATTAAACGCCATTTTCATTTTAAATTTCCCTTGTATCAAATGTTGCAAAATGTTAAAAATTTATATTATTTTTGAATATTTGTTTTATTATATTGGCAATATGCATTAATCTTATAAAACATATGAATCAAAACACTGCAAACTCTAATGTGGAAGTGAAAAATAAGGTTTGTCTATTATCAGTGGGACATTAATAACAGTGTTACTTTCGTCCCCACAGGAACTCTTGCCATTTAAACCTGATTAACTTTTAAACTGAAATACTCAGATATTTATACTCAAGGATGTGTTATTGCACTAAATAACCTGTAGATTGATCATCATTGTGACACATGAAAAGAGAAGCACAATGTGTAATAATGAAAAAAAAACACTACAATACTGTACATTTTGAAATTAAAAACAGAAATTTGGCGCTAACTGTGGGACACCGTCCTGAAATCATCTGTCCCACATTACTTTCGTCCCCTGATGTTCAATTTCTTACACAGATGAACAATTCACTTCATAAGACCTGTGTATTGTATTTTTATTAACATTTTCATATCAAAACTGTCAACATGCAGGTAAAAATTGACTTGAATTGACTTGTATGGCTTCTGCTAAAAAATATTTTTGAAGGTTAAAAAAAAAGTCATCTATATTTTGAATGATGTAACGGTGAGTTTTTTTTAATGTAATGTAGTTATTTTTCTACATTTTTGGCTGAAGAATCCCCTTAAAATTTGCAAAAGTGGCCTTTTATGATTCATTCATTTAATATCTTTTTTTCAGCTTAGTCCCTTTATTAATCTGGGGTCGTCACAGCTGAATGAACAGCCAATTTATTTTATTTAATTATATTATTTATGTTTTACGCAGCTGATACCCTTCCATGACTGGGAAACACCCATACACTGCCATTCACACATGTACAGTAGAGATAAATTAGCTTACCCAATTTACCTATTGTGTATGGTACAAGTCTATAGACTTGTGTGGTGTAAACCGGAGCACCCCGTGGAAACCCATACGAACACGAGGAGAACATGCAAACTCCACACAGAAATGCCAACTGACACAGCTGAGGCTCGAACCAGCAATGTTCTTGCTGTGAGGCGATTGTGCTACCCACTGCACCACTGTGATGTGGTCTTTCATTATATGTAAATTATGTATTATATTGTTTATTGTAAATTTAAATTAAATTTTGGTCCTAAATGTTGTTTTTAAACATTTCTACGGAGATTATGAGATAAACTGAATAGGGACGTTTATTAAACATTTAATCAAAAGAGCCTAAACAATGGAACGTTTTGTACGTCACGGTTCAAATGAACGTCAGACACCTTCTGATGACGTAAAAGACTCGTTTGAGCTCTCTTCTGTGAAATGAACAAAAGAATCGATTCGCGGGAATGAATCGGACAACCCATCTCACACACACACACACACACACAAGCGCATTTTTTTCATCGTGAGCCGGTCAAGATGGCGGCGGTATTGCCGAGACGGAGCAGCCGCTCGGCTTAATCGATCACTTTCTCTAAATCATCGGGGCAGATCGGATAAAATCGACCAAATTGTCCGACGCAACTTTGTGAAATCGCCTTTGATTTGCGATATACAACGTGAGGCCCTATCGCGTTAAACCGGGTGTTTTTTCACGGAAAATGCTCTTACTCTAGTGTGTCTCGTCCATTAACTGTATTGGGGAGAATGGGAGAAAAGCTGGAGTTAAAACTGAAGTCGCCGGTCGGAGCCGAAGCTGCAGGCTATCCGTGGCCCTTACCTGTATATGTAAGTACTATCCGTCTTATTGTTTTAATATAAACCAAACCGACACCGGGATTCCCTTGCCGATCAGGCGAAGTGGGTCATGTAGGTAGAGTACAACGTGTTTCAAACCGAGTAAATAATGTGCTAATGTTTTTAATACTAATGTCGTGTTCTATTAATGTTTTAAGATATAACAATCGCTTAAAATTAGGGCACGAGAGTGTCAGCATACCTTAAAGTGTTGGATGTAATCGTCTAACGTGCAAATGTTCATTAGGATGCCCGGAATACCACTATTAGAGGAACATTAACGTTAGCTGGACTTTAAAAGGCACAATTAGTTGCAAAAAAAAAGTCTTATAACCTATTATAAGTATTATATTTGAATCGCAGGAAACACTGTGTGTAGCCTGCTGACCCAGTTGGCCATCTCGTGTTATAGTGGTTGTGTTTCTAATCCTAGGAAGCTGTCTATATAGGGTGCGTGTGTAAGTTTGCAGTTCAAACGCTAAATAATATGAAATGCTGTCATTATTTAAGTATTTAGAATTCGATTACTAATATATTTTGTTGTGTGATTGTTCCAGCGACTGTTTCTATACTTTGTTTAATACGTTATTCGACGTGCTCGTAACATTTATTTTGATTAAGCTGACTTGTCATAACTGACTAAAACCGTTGTTCACAATATACCAAAACAAAGTCTGCACTTACCATTGATCTGTTCTGTTGTCGTGTTATCACTCTCTCGATTCATTGAACTACTAAATACGAGTAGTGATCCGCACACTACGAAGGCAGCTCAATAGTTTGACACACGACCGCTAGCGTTTTCTAAAACCTCCCATAACAGAGAATGCGTTTATAACGCTTTCCCGTTTACTTCAGAAAACTACATTTTGTTTATCAACAAATAGTTTTTGCATAGATTAATCCTAAAACGTCAAATTGTGTGACTGTATTCAAACGAGTGTTTATAGCGAATGAAATTGCACGCTAGCCGTCATGCTAACAGTCAGATAGCAAGGCTAGCTAACTTTATCGCTTTTTAGCAAACACTTGCTGCCGTCAAACACTAGATAACTTAAACAGGGTGAATATCTGTCAGGCATATTTGTGTACAGAACTGCGCTGGATAGATAAAGGTCAAATAAGCATCGTGCCGGTGAAATATGGCACGAAGGGGTGTTAAACAAAAGGCGAGTAGTGCTTTCGGGCGAGAGGACATTATCTCCATATTGTTAGTGTTTTATTGACAGCTAGCTCTAATTTGTGTGCTGCAACTGCCATCTTAGCGTTTTAACATTGTAGGTCGTTTCTTTACACTATTGGATGTTGAATTTTTCTAGTATGACAGCACATACTGTTTTGAAACATTGTATATCCTCCTGGATGTGTCAGATTTGTCACTTTTGGTCATTTGGTAGCCCTTGCTCTGGGATTGTGTTGAATTTTTGGCAGAAACATGTCTCCTTAAAGAGGCAAACTGTCACAACGACACTCGTATGGCTGACATTTCTTGAAAAACAAGTATGTAATGTTCATTAGGAAATTTGGCGATAACTGTCTTAAAACTTGCTGGACTTGAAGATTGGGTTATTAAAGATTAATTTCCTTGTTTTATGTTAGCATTGAAGTTTTTTTAAATTAACTTATTAATAGTTCACCATCTCTAAATGAACCAATTAATCTAAACTTAGATTTTTCTTCATCTGTTGAACACAAAACAAGGTATGGAATGTTGGGCAAAAGCAGCCCTTGAGATCCATAGTAAACACAAAAATACTACTTTGGAAGTTAATAGGGCTACACAATACTGGAAAAAAAATCGGGCATTGCGTTATTTTGTTTCTCTGCGATATAAATTGCGATATTAAAAAACTTCACCGGATGGCTTGAATGTCTGTATTTGGGAAAAATTCTTAATCAAGATTGATTGGGTTGATTTTATAAGGGGAAAGTTATACAGTAGAGAAAAGAGAATGAGTCAAACAAGTATTTAGGAACAGAAATTGAGTAATGAAATCTAAAATAACGCTTTATAGTCTTAATTTTATTAATAATTCAGTAAAATTATTATTCGTTAAAGTTGCAAAGTTACTTTATTGTGCCCAAATGTTTTAAACTCTCTTGTGCATGCTTTTTTAAGGCATTTTATTAGAAACTTTCACTTTGTTTTGGTTATACTTTGCGATGACTCATGTATTCTCAACTTTTGTGCTTATCAACTAACGCTATGTTAACTCTGTGTGAATGGTCTTTTCTGGAAAAATTAGGGAACGTCCGTGCTTCTGTGACCACCTTTTTTATGAATTTACCGGTAAAGTCGTTCTGGAAATTGTCCGGATATTTACCAGTATCACTGTGTGAAAGGGGCTAATGACAACAGGACCAAACAGTATTGCTGCTTCAGAATATTTCAGACATATTATGGACACATAGGTGGAGTAAAGCCACAGCACACGCAACAACTTGATCTTCCATCATTAAATAAATTTGATAAAATGCATGCCACATTATTTATATGCAACATTTTTTCTGCTAGCAAACATGTTTTTCTGCAAGTGATTTGCTGATATGCTGCAATGGCCCCAACTAATGTTTTCACAGCTTGTTGACATAATGGAGCACTTATGTTTATGGATTGAGCCAATTAACTTATTTTATTTTGTCGTTGTCTTCGGCTTGTGTTTTCCTCATCTCTAAAGCCTTATTCATACTACCAATGGTTTTGTTGCTGGCTTTCACGCTGAATTGAAACTAGTGGGTGTTCCTACCTTGAGCTTGCTTGGGCAATGTTTATGAATGATATTTGCTGACAATAAATGTCTCCTTGTTGCTGAAAATGAAAATGTTGCCGATTAAATACTTAACTAACTACATAGATGAACAAACCAAACTGTGCCATAGTGGCTATTAATCTGCAACAATCGTAAAAGTCTGTTGGTCTAAAGCACAGAGAATACAACCGGCTGGTGCATGAGCTTGTATTGGCTGTCGCTTGTTGGATTGTCGACTTTGTAGCATTGCTAGACATGCCCAAATCCGTTCGTCAATTGTTGGTGATGCTCATCTAGCTGGAGATCACCAGAGTGGCTTGCTCTTTATTGAAATGTATGGTCGCCAGTAGTGTGAATGCGGCTTAATTATACACAATCTTGCACTTGGTTCATTCCAGTTATTTATTTTTTTAAAGAGTGTCCTCAATGCACTTAATTTCAGAGCAGATTTATTTAGTTTTACACCATGTTCTAACAACACGACAAGATTTTCCAACATGTGTTTTGGATCTCTGTACCAGACACAACACAAATTGTTTGAATACCACGAGCACTTAGAAGCGCAGAACAGAAATAATCTACTTATTAAATATTAAATCTCATTAACTCTATTAGAAGTACATGCTGAGTGACTGACGTTATTGGTTTGCTCTGAGTTTGCAGTATTAATGTTTAGGCTAAGTTCGCTAGTTGTTTTGTTTTCAAGATCTGAGATAAACAATTTAATAAGGGCTTTAAGTATGACAGTAAATTTCACATCAATTAGTGTTCAAACTCAATTTGGAAAAATTTAACACTGAATGAAGCCTGAGTTGATCATTGTCATATAGATTTTTTTATGGTTTACCATGACGTCTCAGATATACTTCCTAAAATAGAAGCTTTACATGTCGTTGTTTAGGACAAAAGTGTATTTTATTCTGGAAAAGATTATTTGTTTGTGTTATTAGGACACCAAGTTATCTATACATCTATATAGTGGCTTAATGGTTTAAATGTGCAGTAAGCAATTTTTGAAAAACACTAGATTTGACCTCCGTGTTGTGCTGATACTCTTATTACACTTGTAGCCAATCAGCAGTAAGAGTTTTGTCTTTTAAATGCCGCATTTCCACTGTCGGGCCAGTGCGAGCTAGGGCTTTTACTAGGGCTAGTGCTGAAATCATGTCACATTTCCTCTGTCGGGCCGGTAGCTCGCAGCGCGTCACGCAAACCTCGCCCCCCACAACATCCCCCGCATCAAACGTCACACAACCCACCCACTTAAGCGGGAATCAGCCAGATATAGCACACCATCGCATCAGCACGAGAGCAATAAATTGAAGACATCTGAAACAAACAAATGACACGTTACTGTAAAGCAGTACGTTATATGTATTTACTAGGGGTGTCAAAATTAATTGTTTATTTTTTTCAGTGCACCGCGATGCAGACGCGGACAATTCGGTATCGGTTTAGTAATAATCATAACCGGTTATTATGTACTGATGCCATTTATCTCCTATGCACTCTGTCGCGAGGGAGGTGAGTGCCGGTGTTAATATGGTGTAACACCTGCCCGTGGCATAGGCAGTATAGGCAAATGCTAAGGGCGCTTTACATTCAGGAGGGTGCCAGAAATGAGCGCGGTTAAGTTGGTTTTGTTTTCAATATTCCTGACACATTCAGTTATAGCGGCAGTAACTCAAAAACCTCTTACTCAAAAGATCTAAAGTTCTACAAAAAGACAAAGCTGGTTTCACAGCTGTATTTTTCTATTTTTTTCGCTCGACATTACAACCACTGCCCCTTTTAAGCCCTCGTAATATGGGTTTAGCCGGGAGAGCTCGCGTGGAGCTCTCAGAAGGGACCGTCGGAAAAGTGCTTCTTTTTTTTTTTTCAGGTTTTTTTTTTTTTTTGCTCAGCACGAGCTCTCCCGGCTTAACGCATATTGCCAGGGCTTGTTGTGTGTGTGTGTGTGTGTGTGTGTGTGTGTGTGTGTGTATGTGTGTGTGTTTAGTGCTGTCTATGTGTGTGAATGAGAGACAGTGTGGTGATGTGTCTGTGTTTATACAGACAGCTTGTTATAGCCTCCTCTCAAAATATAACACTGTGTATGGAAAGCATTGTCGATGCATCGAAATATCGAATTGAACCGAATCGATGGGATGGTAATCGTAACGGAACCATGAGACTAGTATAGGTTCACACCTCTAGTATATATGCACAGGCCTGTGTGTTCTCATTCATCATATTCATTTA